GGTCCCAGTGCTAGGATGCACGGGTAGAGGCAGGCCAAGCCCAGTATGTCTGAGCCCAGGCAGTGCTCCCCTCTGTTTCTGTTTCTCCCGCCCCACTCCCAGCAGCGACACCTGTACCCTGCTTGAGCACAGATCTGGTGGTCGACCCTATCAGCTTTCTGGGGCCTCACAGCAATGAGAGCTCGCTGGCCGACCACGGAGAGGAGGAGACCCTGAAGGAAGGTCCTATGGTTTGGTCTGGTCCAGTCTGCAGGGAACCAGGGCAGAAGCTCCTGGATGCCCACATCCCATTTCTCTGGTTGTGCTCAACTTCCCTGTGCACAAAGTTGCATCTGATAGTATTTTTTAATCGAAATTGCCCTAGGAGGGCGCGCACACACAAAAGCTGCTGAGAAAAAGACAAGCCTGCGGACGTGCCCAGCAGGAACCCTTCCTGGGACATGTAAGCCCCAGGAAGGAGGTGCAGGGGGAGTGGCATTTAAGATACCCTGACGCTCCTAGGTGCAGTCATCTGGGCACCCAGTCCTTCCTCCCCTCGCTCCCTGAAACCAGGCAGCATCCCAAAGGGAGGGCACTGCTGCCTACACTGCTCAGCATAGAAACCTGGCTCAGGAGCGGCTTATGCACAAGTGACACCTCACCACGCGGCTGGAGGCTTGTCTGAACAAGGCCTGAGGGGGCTAGGTGAGGCCACACTCTGCCCCCACCACAGGGAGTGCCCCAGGGCACAGGCAGGACTAGAAGTTGAAGCCGGTGCGCCCACACCTTTGGTGTGCTTCTGGCACAGACTTCTGGCAGTGGGGTGTGCCGGCTGCCATTATTTTCAGCTGCAAGCAGCACCTGATCTTTTCTTGTCTCCTTGAACTCAGGTCTTTCCTTTCCAACGGGAATCCTCCATCAAGAGTTGGGAACCAGGTGATGGGTGTTTCATCTCCCCCACCCCACGCCGCCCCCCTCTAGTCATAAGATGTAGGTGTGATCACTGGCTGTTTTGCAGTTTGACCTCAGGCAAGTTTCCTCTTCTCAAAAATGAGGCGAGGATCTGATTAGATAACACGAGGAAGCACCTGGAACATGGGATCATTTGTCGGTGAAGCTAAGAGCTTCTGCTTCTTGCCCAGGAGTCCACCATCTCATACCAATTCCTATTTGTTCACTTATGGTTTTTGGTAATTAAAAAAGAAGTCATAAACTTGTCAAAAAAAGTCACCCAGTGTGCCTGAGCAATTTCAGCTCTGGATAGACTGAGACCAAATGCCAGAAAACTGCGCTCTCGAGAGGCTGTTCTGTCCTTTCCACCCACCACGCCATGCCAACCACACCATACCACCCTAACTTCACATCTCACACCTTGGCGTCTCTGTCCCACAGGGATGCCCTGTCACCTGGCTTTCCTTGTCCCTGCCCGGAAAGCATAAGTGCTATCACCCCGTCCTTTCTAGGGCGGTTCTCCCCTTCCTTCTGTGGTGTCAGTCATAAGCCAGCCTGCTGTCCCAGGCAGCTCTCGTGAACTCAGGCACTGGGCTGTCTGCCAGGGCTCTTAGTCCAGTTTCTCATCAGGTCCCTCAGGATTCAGCTCTTAGTGCGGCCCCTTCTCCCCTAGGGACCTCATGCAGAGTTCCTAATTAGAGCGCTGCGTTCCTCAGGCAAGAGGGGAACAGAACACAAAAAGCAGCTTTGTGCTAATCTTTGCCCTTCCGCTGCTGGAGGGCAGTGTTTTTGGTAATAGAAATGTACCAGGTGCCCTGGAAATACCACATACCCTCTGGGACAAGGGGAAGACAAAACTGATGGCAAGAGCAAGGCCAGGAAAGCCAGACCAGCCAAGAGGTGTCGTTGGGCCGTCCCCCTCATCACTCGTATCACGGCAAGCGAGGCACATGGTGCCCTTAGCCCTGACTCAGTCTTTCCACTTCCCACTTCCCGAAAACAGTTTCCTTGACAATTCCCGACTCTGGGATAAAGGGACAGCGTTTCCTTTGGGAGTCAGGCGGATTAGTTTTCACTGAATGTGGATGTGAAGAGCTAGATAAAATATCATCCATTTGTTCTTAAAAACTGTGGGCTAGACAGTGTCCACCATAGTTCAAATAAGACTGATGGAAGAGGTGATTCTTTTTTTTTTTTTTTTTAAGCTGAGCCATCCTGCTACCTGTTGGCAGCTCAGCGGCTGCTCAGCTCGGGCTGGACTCGAACCGCTGTTGCTC